AAAGAGAAGAAAGAAAGAAAAAGAAAGAAGAAAGAAAGAAAGAAAGAAAGAAAGAAAGAAAAGAAAAGAAAAGAAAAGAAAAGAAAAGAAAAGAAAAGAAAAGAAAAGAAAAGAAAAGAAAAAAGAAAAGAAAAGAAAAGAAAGAAAATAATGTTTGTTTGGTATCTGGGAATAGGGCATTGAAATAGGAATATGTGTGTCAAGGTAAACTATGTGTACTCAAGTAAAGGAAGACAAAAGTTTTAAAAAGAAAAATGAAGAGGATTACATAATTCTTTTAAAATGATTATCCTTGGCTACAAAGATCAATAACAAAGATAATGCCAGTGCAAGGTTGGTCAGGCAGTTGCTGGGCAAATGTCTTTGAAGAAGTAATTTTTCTGTAAGGTTATGATGGCTTTTGTGAAAGGTTGTGACTTTTGCACAGTCTATGATTTTTTTTTTTTTTTAAATCAGGCTAACAAGCATGACAATCCTCTCTTCATGGCCTTCTCTGGCTCAGTCAGTTTTTGTTTTTGTTGTTTGAAACACAAACAACTCCATTTTGATTTTAACAATGTTAACACTTTATTTCAGATAAAAGTTAAAAATGATCACATGAACACAGGGAGGGGAACATCACACACCAGGGCCTATTGCGGGGTGGGAGGCAAGGGAAGGGATAGTATTAGGAGAAATACCTAATGTAGATGACAGGCTTAGGGGTGCAGCAAACCACCATGGCACATGTATACCCATATAACAAACCTGCATGTTTTGCCCATGTATCCCAGAACTTATAGTATATATATAAAAAAAGAGAGAGAGTCTAAGAACTATATTCAGGACGTAAAATAATAACTTTAGAAGCAAATTTTAGACACAAAAAAATGCAGAGCAAAGAAATTAGTTAACATGCAAGTAAAAATAAATAAGCATTGCATATATAAAATAATAATACTGCTCCTGCCTTTTGTCTTGTTTTCTTCTCTGTGCCTGTCTGGACTATGCAGATCTGTTTTTTAATCTGTCTGACTGGATAGTCTTCCCTCTCTGTTCAACAACAGAAGAAAGTTCTGATATCAGAGGACAGAAAGCAGGAAGTTTCTAGAATATATTGGAGAATATGTTATAAAGCCTGAAGATATCTGTAGCTTCTTAAGTGATTAATTGATCTTTGTGGATTGATCAAAATGCTTTTTTTCAGTAAAGTATTAGCACTACAAATGCTGTGAATTAGGAACAATGTTAATGTACAGGAGTTGTAAAGTTAAAGTTGGTCTCAGAACTCTGGATGACTACTAAGAAAAATGTGAAAACGATATAAAGGATAATATGAATATGAAAGAATTATTGAATATAAACCGAGGGGATTTATTCATAAGAGTTTTAATTATAGGCTGGGTGCCAGTGGCTCACGCCTGTAATCCCAGCACTTGGGAGGCTGAGGCAGGTAGAGCAAGAGGTCAGATGTTTGAGACCAGCCTGTCCACAAAATACAAAAATTAGCCAGGCGAGGTGGCAAGTGCCTATAATCCCAGCTACTCAGGAGGCTGAGGCAGGAGAATCACTTGAACCTGGGAGGAGGAGGTTGCAGTGAGCCGAGATCATGCCACTGCACTCTAGCCTGGGCAACAGAGCAAGACTCCATCTCAAAAAAAACAGTTGTAATTACATAGGAGTACTGGAGTTAGCAAGACTCAGTACATGGTGGAAAGAAGAGGATTACTGCACTTGTCTAACTAAACACCAAATTTTTTTCCTTGTAAAGAATCATCAGAGCATCAATCAAAACAATGATTAGTGTGCATAACACATTACAGTTTAAGGGCTACGAAGATAATGATTCTTAGTAACAAATGACAGAGCAGATGTTAGACCCGAAATAAAACTAATAATTATTTCATAGCTAACATTTATTGACAGCATACTATGCACTGGGCTTTGTGCTAAGCAAATTATATGTATCATCTCATTTTATCTTCAGTAATTCTATTATCCTTTTTTCATACATATAAAAACTGAGGCACAGAGGAGTCAAGCAATTTGCCCAAGGACACAGAACAAGTAGTGGATTCTGGAAGAATGATACCAAAAGGAGGTCTGATACCAAAGCCCAGGCCACTACTATGTACTTAGGACATTGCCATGGGCATTTGGCCATCACGAGTCTAACCTCCTATAGTAACTATTATGACTCTGTCAAATATTGGGTTTTGGAGTTAGAGAGGACTGAATTTTTTTTTTTGAGACAGAGTCTCACTCTGTCACCCAGGCTGGAGTGCAGTGGCATGATTTCAGCTCACTGCAAACTCTGCCTCCCGGGTTCAAGTGATTCTTCAGCCTCAGCCTCTCAAGTAGATGGGATTACAGGTGCATGCCACCACACCTGGCTAATTTTTATAGTTTTTGTAGAGATGGGTTTCACCATGTTGGCCAGGCTGGTCTTGAACTCCTGACTTCAGGTGATCCACCCACCACCACCTCCCAAAGTGCTAGGATTACAGGTATGAGCCACCTCGCCCAGCCAACAGAACTGGATTTGAATTCTAGTTCTGCCACTTGCATCTTGGGCAAAATGTTAATTTTCCTGAGCTTCAGTTTTTCCATCTGTATAACGCAGATGATACTACCTAACACACTTGGTTGCCGAGAGGATAAAATGACAGAATTTAAGTGAAATACTTCCCTGGGAATGTATGGAGATTTGGAATTGTTCTACCATGTATAGAGGTGATAATTTAGGTCTTCTTTCTTGAAATTTCACATCATAAAAGGAAACATTTGCTTTCTGGTCTTATTAGTCTTTGATTTTGACTATCCATTACCTTGTTTTTATCCTGTGTATCCACTTCTCCAGGTGCCATAAACTTCAGCAGAAGTGCCAAACACTTAGGGCTCTTGTGTCGAGTGGTCAAGTGCAAAGGAGTCATCTCTTCTAGATCCTTTTGCATCCAGTTTGCTCTGCGTGTAAGTAAGAGTTTCATGAAACGATAATTTCCCTAAATAAAAAACAAAAAATGATTAAAAAAATTTACTATGGGGTCAAAAATTTTTTTAAGTATGTTAATTATTCTCCTAGAGTAATAACATTCAGAGAAATTGATAAAGAAATATATTTATAATTCCACTATACTGAGATATCAATTATTTTCTTTTTTCATTTTTCATGTTTCTTTCCAAGAACCTTCTACATGAAAATAATTTACATAGTGGCTGGTCAATAGTTTATTGCAAATAAAAGCAACATGTTTTATTTAAACAGTCTATTATTGTTAGATATTTAGAAGGTTTCTAATATTTTCTTTTGTAGAAAATGCTTTGATGTACATTTTTTTTACATTTGTTTTTTCTTAATTTTTTCATAAGACGAAATGATCAGGAACCAAATTGTTGGGTCAAAGAAGTTTGTATATTTTACTGTGTTTGGTGTATTTTCCAAAATGCTACCTAACAGCAGCAATGTGTAGGTGTACTACTTTTGGCACATTCTGACCAATACAGTACCTATTATTTATACTCAAAGTATAATAATGTAAAATAAGCAGATATGTTAAATCCCAATTTACAGGTGAGGAAACTGAAATTCAAAGAAGTTAAACATTTCATTCAGGGCCCTCTGGTTAATAAGGAAGGGATAATTAGTTATTTTAAAGAGAGCTGTGTATGGGTACAACTAAGGTAGAGGCAGCTTATTCAAAGTTTGTATCCCAGGCTCAAATGGTCACCTAAATGCCAACTCAGAAGTCATGGTAGGCCCATCCACTTGCAGGCAATACTCTCCATGTCAGTTAAATCCTCCAGTCTGGTAGAATCAGCCTACCTCAAAAAAGAACAAGGGCCACAGCAAGAGTATTAAGGAGTCAGGCCAACCATTACATAGTAAGTCTGCGTAACATGGGGCTTTGAACAAAATAAGACTCTAAAAATTGCTCTTCTGGGCTCTTTTCTCAGATCTAGTGTCTCATTTTTACTTCCAGTTGGAGGCGTCTATGTGCTTGGCATCTCAGATATTTCAAGGTCAACGTGACCAAGCAATATTGCATGATCAAGTTCTTGGCCTACTTCATGCCTATGTATCTCCCCCTAGTCAGAGGATAATGGTAGGCAGAATGATTTGTCCATTTGTCATCCTTAACCATGTTAGACGTGGGCCCTTTTAGCATGATAATGCATTGATGTTCTCCTACGAGGGACTATCAATATTAGTACGGAAGATATTTTGTAATCAAGCAGACGACCCACTGTGAAGAATGTGAGGCTCTATGGCAAGCTTGTCTAACCTGAGGCACCTGGGCTGCATGCAGGCCAGAGAGGCTTTGAATGTAGCCCAATAAAATTCATAAACTTTCTTAAAACATTATGAAATTTTTTTTTTTTTTTTTTCCGAGACGGAGTTTCGCTCTTGTTACCCAGGCTGGAGTGCAATGGTGCGATCTCGGCTCACCGCAACCTCCGCCTCCTGGGTTCAGGCAATTCTCCTGCCTCAGCCTCCTGAGTAGATGGGATTACAGGCACGCACCACCATGCCCAGCTAATTTTTTGTATTTTTAGTAGAGACGGGGTTTCACCATGTTGACCAGGATGGTCTCGATCTCTTGACCTCGTGATCCACCCGCCTCGGCCTCCCAAAGTGCTGGGATTACAGGCTTGAGCCACCGGGCCCGGCTACGAAATTTTTTTTGCAATTTTTTTTTTTTAGCTCATCAGTTATTGTTAGTACTAGTGTATTTTATCTGTGGTCCAAGACAATTCTTCTTTTTCCAATGTGGCCCAGGGAAACCAAAAGATTGGACATCCCTGCTGTAAGGCAAAGGGGATTACTAGAGAGACAATGAGGTGCGGAAGGACGAATGAGACCTAACTGCTTGCCCACAGGGGCAGAGATAGGATTGACTAAGTCCATCACTGGGGCAGAAATAAGAGGAGATAAGAAAGACCATAGCTAGGGAAGAGGATCTGTAGATGGCCTATATTAGACAGGAAGACTTGGAATAGGTGGAAAAGCCAACGGACTCTGCTGGATAATTCCTCTCAGAGAGGCTTCCCTTAAAGACCCCAAATAGAACTTATTTTGTTATTCTTTATTCTAGTACCTATTCATTTCCTTCACAGTACTTTTCTCAGTTTGTAATTACATATATATAGGTTTCTCTTCGGTGTGATCTCCCTCACAAAGGGTAAGCTCCATGAAGGCAGAGACCATATTTTATTGATCCCTGTGCTTAGCATAGTTCCTGACACAGAGTAGGTGCCTAATAAATATTACTTGAAGAAATGAGTGAATAAGAAGAAATAACATGTCTTTTAGAGGTGTTTGTTTTCACTAAAAAATTCTTATTTACAAGGTCGGAGTGGTGGCTCCTGCCTGTAATTCCAGCACTTGGGTGACAGGCAGATCACTTTCTGTCAGAAGTCTGAGATCAGGCTGCCCAATATGGCAAAACCGTGTCTCTAATAAAAATACAAAAAAATAAAAATAAAAAATTAGCTGGGCATGGTGGTGCAAGCCTTTGGTCCTAGCTACTCAGGAGGCTGAGGCATCAGAATTGCTTGAACCTGGGAAGTGGGGGTTGCAGTGAGCCGAGGTTGCACCACTGCACTCTAGCCTGGGTAACAGAGTGAGACTCTGTCTCAAACAAACAAACAAACAACCCCAAATAAATAAAAGTAATAATAAATAATAAAAATTCTTATTTACAGTTGCTATATTAGATCATAAAAGTTTAGAATCCTAGTTCTCAAATACCTGGTATTTGGTTATTCTTAGTTTTTAATGTTTCATTTTTCTGAGCTTCATTAATAGTGTACATCATTTATCTGGACTTCTCATTTCATTCGATGTCAGTTTTTAAGAAGGAAGATGCTAAAATTTCCTCAAGAGGGCACCCTGCTCTAAATTTCTTGCCATCTTTTCTTTGAAAAAAGAAAAAGTGCCCAGTAAAAACAAATCTGTGTGACACTTCATACTGAAAAATAAGGTTTAACCTTTCTGAACGTAATATTTCAAATATTACAGAATAATTCATCCTGACCTTTTAAAGATATTCAATCAGACAGTCATTTTGATTGTGAAATTAGAGGAAAAGGGAAGAAGAAGAAGGAAACTAGTATATGTTGGTGGGGGTAACTACTGAGTAACAGACACAGTGCTTGGCATATTTACACTTTACATTATTCTGAGAACTCTACCTACACAAGACACAGTACATCCCGGTAATGATATTTATTCATTCATTCATTCATTCAATAAACATTCATTGAGTCTTGTTATGAAGCAGATAACACTACAGTGTTTGCGCTTCATTTTACTTACTACAAAGCTCTTTGACATAATTTTGTCTTTGCTTCTCACAGAAGTATCATCAAAAATTTTCACAGATCAAATTATCCTCCTGTGCCTCTATTTTCTCATCTATAAAACAGGGTAATAATAGTACCTGAAATTATTATGCATATGAAATGAGATCAATTATATTTGTAAAAGTTCTTAGAACAGTGCACAAAGCAAAGGCTCAGTAGATGTTTGCTATTATTATAAATAGTTTTCCTTTGTGAAGTATTCAACAAAACATAGATGGTCAGACAGAACCAAGAATGGCCCATGATAGAGGGCATGCAGATAGAAAGATCTGACTGTAATATACACAGTTCAGCTAGTGATTAAGAACCAAGATTAGGAAAAGGTAAAAATAAAAATAGAATGTTCTAAATAGAGCAGTCCCTCTTTATCTGCTGGGGATACATTCCAACATCCTCAGTGAATATCTGCAACTGCAGACAGCACTAAACCCTATATATGCCATGTTTTTTTCCTATACACATATATCTATGGTAAAGTTTAATTTATAAATTAGGCACAGTAAAAGATTAACAATAAGTAATAATAAAATAGAACAAGTATAACAATATACTGTAATCAAATTTATGTGAATGTGATCTCTCTCTCAAAATACCTTAGTATTTTTAGACCACAGTTGGCCACAATAGATGATATAACAGAAAGCAAAACTGTGGATAATGGGGGACTACAGTAGTGGTTTTTCTGATTTTTTTTTTTTTACACTGAGAAAGATGTCTATATTCCACCTATAGATAATGATGAAATAGGACCAACAAAGGGATAGGCAATAGGAATTTGGCAGGTACCCTGGGGAGGGGTCAGCTATATGATAAGTCCAGCATCTCCTATTTCAAATGACAGAGACCCATCAGAAGTTATCTATGAAGGCTGGGCTAGAAACAATATAATTTACTTAGACCAAGGCCAACCTCCTTGTTCTCCTAAACAAGCAACTGGATGGCCATAGTGGCTCACACTTGTAATTGCAGCATTTTGGGAGGCCAAGGTGGGAGAATCAAGTACGCCCAGGAGGTCAAAGCTGCAGCGAGTCATGATCATGCTACTGCACCCCAGCCTGGGTATCAGAGATGACCCTGTCTCAAAAAAAAAAAAAAAATTGCCCATTGTATGCAAAATCAATCTTTGGGAATGTGCAGAAGGGACAAAGAACTTTAATTGCTAAAATCAGGAGAATATTTCTACTGTCAGTGGAACGGGGAAGATACTAGTTGGAGGCAGGAAGCTAATTTGACAAACTTCTGAAGGTTTTGTGATCCAGAGGACCCATGTTATAGGCCACTTTGCCTCCTGTAAAACCTTCTCATAGAAAGTCTAAACACTTCCTCAATATTTTTCGTACTAAGGACTTCTTATGTTTTCCAGAATATTCTTATAATGCAAATACTTGGTGGAGGATTTGAAAGTTAATCTATTTTTTGTTTGTTTTTGAGACAGAGACTTGCTCTGTCGCCCAGGCTGGAGTACAGTGGCGCGATCTTGACCCATGGCAGCCTCTGCCTCCTGGGGTTCAAGTGATTCTCCTGCCTCAGCTTCCTGAGTAGCTGAGACTACAGGTACTTTTTTTTTTTTTTTTTTTTTTTTTTTGAGACAGTTTTACTCTGTCGCTCAGCTGGAGTGCAGTGGCACAATCTCAGCTCA